CAGAATAAAATGCAGAGACATTCCTCCTAGGCTATACACTCCTTGGAATCTGTGTAGTCTAAGTGAGAAAGGCACATCCGTGAACACTGAGATGTCTCAGATGGCAAGGGAGTGAAAAACGCCGGGAAATAATTTCTATGATGATTTATCATCAGTTGTCATGAGAGCCAGAAAATATGATTAACTTAAAAAGAAACCGCAGACAAACAGCAAAATCAACCTGGAAGTAATGAACTTCCAGGCTGTTGTTTTAGGAAGATAGGGATGACTTGAAACAATGCATGCCAGAAAAGATGAATGCAGACAAAATGCACTCTCCTGCCATACCTTGTATAGGAATAGATAAAAAATAATACTAAAAAGCTGACTTCTCTGCCAGAGACCAAAGGGGCTTCTTTTAACCTTTGGCTTGCAGTCTGTGAAGGAACAGTCACATGATCATACCCGAACTACTTACCTGTCTAAATAGTTAACAATATTTGGATGGTTGTTGTCCCTCATGATAATGAGCTCATCGACAATTTGTTCCTTTTTGAGCTGTTTTTGGAGACACACTTGCTTTATGGCCACCTAAAATGACATTGAAAACCATTAACTTGGGAAGTCTCTTGCACAAGATCAGACCAAATTTTGATTTGGCAACTCTAAAGAACACTCTTGAACACAGTGGAGATTTGTAATTGTTTCCTGGATTGTTAAAGAAAGAACATGCTCTCTGGCGTTTTCTGGGTATGCTCCAGGTTAGGAGCAGGGCTTAGGGTTTTTGATCCCTCCTAGACCTCTATCCAAGCCCAGTTCCAAAGCCCAGCACTGCATGAGGATGAGAAACTCCCCAGAAGATTCAGAGGTATTTGCTGACAGCCAGAAATGCAATTTCAGACGTCTGAAGCTGTAGCCCCAAAAGCTGCAAAATCTGCTGGGAATGGTGACACTTACCTCTCCTCCTGTGGCAGTGTCGGTCACTGCATAGACCGTTCCGAAAGCCCTGGAAAGAAAAGCGCAGCGAAGAAAGGAATGAAAGGCAGCCCAGACAGGAGATGTCTGCTGCCTGGAGTGTTTCTAAAACACCTGGCTCCATGTAGGCTTCAGCCAAGAGCAGAGCAGCCTACCAGCCCTGTGCCATGCAGGGTATCCAAGAGAAAACTTGGGTGCAACATGAAGGGCTGGAAAAAATCTCAAGTGTACTGCCCAGATTAATTTAATTCAGACCCCTCTCTAAGGTGGGGGAGCATGTCCACAAAAACTGGAAAGTAATATATTTCCTTCTTTTTCCATTTGGCCTTGCTGAGTGCTCCGACCTCTAACGGCTTTGTTCTCAGAACCCTCCTTTGAAGGTCTCTGCCAATCTCAGGCAACACCCCATTCTGAGAAGCCTGAACACATGTGAGGGGCCATTTGAGGAAAGGATCTAGAAATGGCTTTCTCCAGCCTGTAAGGAAACCAGTCCCCAGCCACCTTTGAGGTCATCTGCCATCATCAGGATGTATATTCCTCTCAACTGCCTTGACAGTGGGTCTATTATGGAATTAGGTTTTACTCCTTCTGCTATAAAAGAGAGTTTCTTTTTTATCTCTGTTTTCCATTTCTAAACGATGTGGTTATACTCCTGACCACTGACCATTGTTTTCCCCATGAGGATGCCATCTGACCACAGTTCTAAACGCAGTGTCTGAACATGCTTGGAGCCTGTCTGACTTCCTGCCTGACCTTGCACCAGCAAAATACCTGCCTTTGTGGAAGGAACCGTGATCAGACTTACCCGCTGGCAATTTTTTCCCATTCAACGTACTTCTTCATAGGATCTCCCACACTCACAATGCTCCCTGAAAAAAACAAAGGAAAGATGATCACTTCAGGATGACGATACCAGCCTCCAGCAGGTCAGAACTGCAGCTCCTCTGCCTGGGGCTGTGAGCTGAAGTCAGTTGGGTAACAACAACAACGGCAACAACAACAACAACAACAATAACAAGAAGAAGAAGAAGAAGAGAGGCAGATCTGTAGTCCAGATGGCTTCCACAAAGACTGGTTTTCTACAGTCCTTTGAAGAGTTACGTTGACAGGAAACTGGGAGAAAGAGGGAGAAACATTCTGAGGAGACAGAAAAGAACAGGTAGCAAGGCAAGTGTTTGTTGTCTAGGAACATTAGCACTGCCCTGTGAGGCAAGAAATGCAGAAGACATACTCAGTTTCTCTAGGCTGTCCTCCTCTACCGTCTCTTGCTGCCAGTTGTTGCTGCTGCAGGAACTGCTGGAAGTGCTCATGTAGGTGATCTCAGGTGTGGGAGTGTTGTCTTTTTCAGCGGCTTCCAGTGCAGCGGCTTCCAGGGCAGTGGAAGATTTTGTTCCAGAGCATGTATTGGTCTGTGACAAGAAATCAGTTTGTGTCAGAAAGGAGGCTTGCAGAGATCCTTCTCATCAGTATTTCAAGCTTTAGGGAACAGGCATTAAGTTCCAGCCCTTCTGAGAGACCGACCTTCTCTTGCCATGGCCAAGCTGCGTAAGACTCTTCTCACCCAACTTTGGTCATGTAAAAGTTATGGGTGTAGTTTAAAGTGCCCATTTAGCCCCTTAAATAGTGCGTGGAGGAGGCCAGGGACCTCCACGGGACAGTTTCTCCGAGGTATCCACACGCAGCAAGGCTGTGAACTGTGCCTTTGGAGCGCTCACTCCGCCGGTGACAGGGAGGCTGCACGGACACTGCGGACCAAATTTCTGCCCATTTCCAGGCACAAGGCTACCTCTCATGCCACACAGAGAGAAACTCATGGTCCCTGTCAGAATGCCAGGAAAACGATGACTGAACTTGAAAGTTCAGAACCCATTTTCCAGGTGTCAGTGGCTGGGGGGGAGGAAACACTTTGTTACGGTAGGACTCCAGCCCTCAGGATTTTCAGCCATGAGGGGTAAGTGCTGTCTGATCTGAAACAGGCAGCTCTGAATTACAGTAATGAGAGTGCTAGGCAAAGCTGGCTCTTACAGAGTTTGGCTGTTCAGGCTCTGGTGCAACAACAGGTGGAGTTTCATTGTTGTCTTCCTCCTCTGTATCCTCAGAAAGTGAAGGAAGAGAAGGAGCCTGAGGAGGGTCAGCTCGAGGTAGTTTCCTCTGTGGACAGACAGCAGTGTGAGCAACAGGGAGTTACTTATCATTTAGAACCTTCTTTCTATGCAGCTATCTCTCCAGCTGTACTAAGGAGAAATCATAACCTTTGATAGCAAGGGGATTCTAAGTTGCTCCAGCTAAGTTCAAGGGGACTAATTAGACAGCAATGCATATCGTTGTGAACTGCTGTTGTTCCCCCATGGCTAAAAGCAGCAAGAAACTTTCTGTCTGCAAAACCACACTGTCATCTACTTCAAAGGCCTCCAAGAGAAAAATAAAAAACAGCCAGGGAAGCCTTTTCTGCTGATGCAAAGACACTGAAGAAGACTTTCTTTCAGCCTGGAGGGCTGGCAGTCGATTGCAACAAGCGAAGGTCAGGGCTTGCTGCACAATTCTGAAAAGCTAGGAATGTCAAAGTTTACTTGGTCACTCACCGAAGGACGGCGTCTTCTGTTTCTAAACACATATTTGCCTGCAATGGGGAAAGGAAATTGAAGCAGATGTTAGAAAACTGGCTGTTGTGGGGAATCCCATGGAAAAGGTCAACTCAAATGGAGAGCATTTTTCTTTCACAATATCCCTTCAGTAGCACAGTTCTTTCACACAGGGAGCAAGAGAAGAGCACAATAGAGCAGGCTGTTGTTTTGCTACAGCTTCTTGGGCCTAGTTTTCTGCCCTTTTTTGCCAGGGCAGTTTCTAGTTTTCTTCTTCTAAATCAAATAAAGAGAAACTTGGTCAAGAAAAGGCACATTGTCCCTTAAGAGTCATTGATTCTGTTCTGCCCAAGAGCTAAACCAGCTCTTGTCTCCTTGCCTCGCCTTGCCTCACATGGCCCCACCTTGCCCTGCCCTGCCTTTCTCCACCCCTCACCCCACCCCTCGCCCCACCCCTCATCCCCACCCTCGCCCTGCCCCTTCCCTGCCCCTCCTCTTCCCCCTCCCCCTCCCAGTCATTGATTTCTTGTGCCCAAGAGCTAAACCAGCTCTCCTCTCCTCTCCCCTCCTCCCCCCGGCTCGTCTCGCCCCGCCCCACCGTGCCCTGCCTCGCCCCACCATGCCTCGCCCCTTCTTTTCCTTTTTCTCTTCCTTTCTCTTCTTTCCTTTTCTTTTCCCCAGTAAAGCTGCCCCCAACTTCCCCTTAGCCATGACACTTCTCTTCTGACACAGCACACAAACAGCTCCCAAGTTGGGGACTCCACTGCCACGGACTAACCCGTGTAGGGAACAGAACCCTGTGGGTTCAATTAGAAATGCTGCCCACCCCCCCTTGAATGGCTGGAGACACCCCCTTTGGAGCTGATGCCCCTGACATGAGCTTTACCAAAGTCATGGGATCTGAAGGGCCTTTTGGTTTCA